TCTCTCTCTCTCTCTCTCTCTCTCTCTCTCTCTCTCTCTCTCTCTCTGCTGATGCTTTCCAGATGTGCTTAAGAGGGACAGACCCTCAGGACATACCCTTGGCTTTGAAACCACTGCTTGTCCCAGATAACCACAGTCACATGCCCGTCACAGGGCCAAAGTGGTTCAGAAGCCAAGCAGACTGTGGCCCAGTGCCATCACTCCTTCCCACAAGGCCGAGAAGGAGACATGCTCACACTTGGAGAGGCTCATGCCCCACCAAAGGTCCTGGGCCAGAAGTGCCCAGCTAGATGACTAGGGAGATGAAAAGCAGCTCTGTAGAAAAGGGACATTCTCCAGGTCATCCTAAAGCTGCCTGGGGCCACCACCAAATCCACAGAGCCTGGGACAGATTGGACCAGATGCCTGTGTTCTGTCCCATCATTTGCAGAGTGCAAGTCACTGTTGTGTTAGCCTATGCTCTCCAGAGCAAGATTCTAGGCTGGTCCAGACCTCAGACTCCTCCAAAAGGCTGGCATTCTCCCTCCCAGGAGTAAGCTCAGCTAAGTTCTAAACCCTCTGAGTTTAGAGACAACCATCTTTGACACAAAAGTGGGTGTGGTGTGTGAGAGTGTGTGGGGGGGTGCAGAGTGATGATAGAGTCACAGAGCAGGCTCCAGAGAAACAGCATTTCCTTCCTCATGGCTTCTGAACAAGGCATGGAGCTGAGGGGCAGAAATAACATTTTTCGAGACAAAGTCACTCTGTAGCCCTGGTTGGCCTAGAATTCACTAGGTAGCCGCTCAAATTCATAGAGATCCACCTGCTTCTGCCTCCAGAGGCCACCACCCTGGGCCCAGAAGTAACTTCCTGATCCCAAAGGTTGTTCACACTGGGACAGCAGGGCAGGAGAAGAGAAAGAATCTGCCAGCACCACCTCTCCCCCATCCTCTGGGAGCACAGCCCTCTGACTCAGCCATGGAAAGAATCTCAAGGTCCCCAAAATAAAGGGCAGAGAAAGGCACAGGTGGGCAAGCCTCCTAGGAGAAGCAGCTGTCCTCGGGCTAGCTAGGTGACCAGAGCATCCTGACAGCAGCTCTGTGGTGTGTCCCTGACTCAGGACTGAAGAGTTGGGAGATTTCATGAAACAACAACTAGAATGAGCCGGGGTGACTGGATTGAGAACACAGATGAAGGGCAGTGCTGTTGTATAGAGCGGTGGTGTAGGGCGGAGGTGGGGGAGAAGCAGCAGCTTTTAGAGGGTCCTTCCTGAGGCTCTCCAGAGGCACCAAGTGAGGGCAGGCTGAAACTGGGGACTCCCCTCCAGCTGAGCAAACCCAGAGCAGGAGCCCTAATGCATAGCACTCATTTCAGGGTCTGGGGCTACTGGGACCCCATGTGAAAGAAAACAGCCCATTCTGGCCCCAACAACAGGAGAGTATGATAGAAGGATTCTGGGTTGGGGTAGGCTTCTGTGAGAAGACCTTGTTTGAGGGTCAGGGGTGTAGCTCAGCTGGTCAAGAGCTTGCCTCCCTTAACTGCCTCCCTTCCCATACACACGGCAGAGACTAAGACAAGGACTGAGTAGTTTTGGGAGAGACGTCCCCAGGAGGCTGGAACTGAGGACATATGCCCATGGCCAGTGATTGTGGTGGACAGTGAGGGCTCAGGGTCACTGGGACCCCTCAGGGAAACCCATAGAATCTACCTTTTGTGACCTTCTCCATGGATCCAGGCTTTCAGGTCTACTAGCTGAGGCTGTGTCTGGAACTGTGGCTTTGGGAATATAGGCCCTTAAAGAGCCTGGGAGGACAGATGGCGTCCTACTCCATGTCTCTACTCATAAGGGTGCCAGAGAGACCTGGGCTCTGAGAGCATCTGAATGGCAATGCCAGCTGCCACTGCACCAACATGGACACAGTTGTCCGTGCTCCATGACTGGGCAGGCCTCTCCAGAGACCTACTGGGGATTCGGAGGGGACTATCTGTCAAATGGTCTTATACTTGGTAAGAGAAGGTAAGGTGCTGCCAGGGTCTGTCACAGTCCCACCCAGGACTGAAGCAAACACAAAAAAAAAACAGGGAATGCCTGAATCCAACCACGCCTGAAGCCAGTAGAAAGAATGACTTTTCTTTCTCTTCGTTGGATTTGCTGTTTACAAGCCTGACAACCAGAAAGGCCTGTGTTTGGCACAGTGTCTGCCTTGTGTTGGAAGCACCAGCCACATTCTCTTCCTAATCTCTGCAAGAGCTGGATGCAGCTGCACCCAGAAGTCTAGCATGACCCCAGTTGAGAGGTCATGATTAATTCTCTGTCCTGCCAGCTCTGAGCTGAACAGAACCTCACTGGGGGAAGACAGCGCCAGCCTTTGCCACAAGAGACATCCTTGAGCTTCAGGTTCCTCCGTGTGCCTGAGTTCTCAGAGGTCAATCTCACCTCACCTTTGGCCGACAGAGTTCTGATTACAGAAGTGAGCAACTGAAGACATGGCTCAAGAGTGAAGAACGCTGGCTGCTCTTTCAGAGGACCTAGGTTGCTTCTGAGCACTCACTTGGCAGCTCAGGATTGTCTGTTAACTCCAGAACCAGGAGACCCAGCGCCCTCTTCTGGATTCCTTAGGAACTGCATGCATCTGGTATACAGACATCACCCGAGCAAACAAAACACACTTTCCTCCCTTCCCTTCCCTTCCCTTCCCTTCCTTCCTTCCTTCCCTCCCTCCCTCCCTCCCTCCCTCCCT